GTACAATCCAGGACAAATAGTCTTCACACTTATAATCTGTTTGAGGACAAATACTCCTTTGGAAAACGGTACTTAATTACATAAAACTGATGACAGTTTCTCAACTCTCATTATGGCTTAATGTCTAGGTTAAGTAAAGCTTTCTCAGAAAGAGTTGAAATTCTTTTTGCTTCTTTTCAAAAGATCTCAAACAAAAGAATTTTGAGTACAGAATAAAGAATTCTTCCCCTGAACCACCTGAGAATAAGCTGCTGACCTGATGACTCATTCCCGTCTAAAACATGACTGTACATTCCCAGAAAGACCTACCCCCCCTCCACTTCATCTCAATATGGCCATTAAAGTTGGGAAATTGACATTTATGCATTACCATCTCATCCCACACCTCATCGAAGTTTCAACAAAAGTCCTGAAGATGTACTTTTCAGCCCAAGGTTGCAGTCCAGAATTACATGTTGCCCTCAGCTACCATGTCCCTTCTATTCTCCTTCACTCTGTCTCAGCTTTAGTCATTCTTGACTCTTATGACCAGTAGAGATCCCGTATGATTATTTTGTAATATAATTTGATTTGGAGTAGACCTTTGGCAAATATATCACAGAGGTGATATTGTGTTCTTCTCATTGCATACTATTAGATGGCCCATAATTTTTATTCCTCTTTGCTGATGGTTTTTACTTTGATCATTTGTTTAAAGAGGTATCTGCCAGGCTTCTCCATGATAAAGTCGTTCTTTTTCTCTTTTCATGAATACTACTTTATGAGATTTGTGGGAACTTACTTTAAAACTATGTAGTATTTTGTGCCTCATCAAACTTTTAATTGATTCATTTAATTAATTTATATCGGCATGTACTTATGAATACCTGTATTATTCAATGGGCATTATTCAGTGGATACTAATGGATACAAGTCCATTAGTATTATTATTTATGTTGATGCTCAATTTGTCCTAGATTTGTTCAGTGGGAGCCCTCTGGCTTTTGTATCCTTTTGACATGGCCCATCATTCTTTGAGCACTTCATTGCTCTCTGGCACAAGAGGTTCAGGGCTTGTCTTATACTTTCTCCTCCCTATTCATAAAATCAGCCATTTCTCCAGGAAGTCCCAGTTACCATTAGTAAAGAATGGTACGTAGATCAAGATCAAGATCTGACTCGTCACTATTGGGAAATCACTGCTCCACCTCAGTGGGCAGAGCTAATATGTGCATGTATATCCATACACACACATATATGTAAATATATGTGACATGTATGCATTATACATATATTTACACATATACACATTTATATCTGTTTATATAGAGACATGAAAGATAGATCATGACAGATCTGTAGTCATGAATTTATGCCAGTGCTGTCAATCGCAATCCAACACCACAAGCTTCACTCTAGTTTTTCCTTTATTTCCTTCTTCTCTAGAGAAAAACCTGGATCCTATTATCCTTACTAGCTTTACTTACTTGCTCAGTCTCCCTGTATGCAGCTAATATCCCACTGTCACTGCCACTCTTGACCCCAAAGAAATGTCTTCCACACCCACTCAGGCTCTGACATCCTCCACTGCTTGCTCTTCTGCATGCTTAACCCACACCCTCTGATCAGGATCAGGCTGCCCCTGTGTAGAAGCCCCTGTCACTCTGCTCAGCTCAGAGGCTGAGATCTAGGGCCCCCCACCCTCTGCAGGAGGACCCACCTCACTGTGCTCAGGCTCTAAGACTCCACATGAGGCCATGCCCCTACCTGGATGCCCTCAGGACGTGGCTCAGCCTCTAATTCCCTGATCTGGGACCCTCTGGCTTCCTCCAACAAGGGAGGTTGCCTCCCTGCACTCCCCAACCTAATGACTATAAGACCCATTCCCAGAAGGAAGAGAAGGAGATGGAGACAAGAGGTGGGGACAAAAGAACAGGAAGAGGAAGAGCCAATTGAACTAATTCTTAACAAATGTGTATATTATTTTAAATGTGATAATTTAGAGTCACAATTTTGATGCATCAGATATAACTCCATTAAAGATAAGGTTATAATCTGTTCCTTTAAACAATGTAAATGACTTGAAACTGCTAAAACACCGCTAAAGTTTTCTGCTTAGACACAGACTAACACAATGTTAAGAGTGTGTGGGTGCTTGAATAATATTTGTTCTCACAAATATTTATTGCTAGGCAGTGGCTGTGTATGTATGTGGGATGGGGAGTGTCTCTAGAAAGGAAGGTGGTTGATCAAGAGTGTATATAAGCAATGTCCTCCAGAAGCTTACAACGATCATTTCAAATGATTCCCCTGCAAACACATTTTTCAGAAGATAAACACGACCCCTTCCCTCAATTTGTTCTACTTAAGAGTAATAATAATGATGTTTAAATATTCCCATTTATCTAATATTTGCTTTTATAAAGTTACTTTACCTTTCTTATGTAATTGAAACAGCTTAAAAGAATTAAGGTGAGTCCCTGTGCCTAACTTTGAGAACTCCAAGTGTGTTAGTATGCCCTTCAGCTCCAACCAAGCATTTAGATCCATACAGCGTGCTCTGTCAGTGGTTCCAAACTTTCAAAGACATACCCAGTTGTCTCAGAGAGACAACTGTGTATTGTGTTTAAGAAAACAGGCATTGGAGGGGGCGCCTGGCTGTCTCAGTCCATAGAGCAAACAACCCTTGATCTCAGGGTCATGAGTTCAAGCCCCATGTTGGGCTCAGAGCTTACTTAAAAATATAAAAAAATAAAGAAAACAAGCATTGAAGTCAGACTGAACAATGCTAAGTTTCTAGCTCTACTACTTAAGTAATTATATATAATTGGACCATTATTTAATATCTCTAAATTCCAATGTCCTCATCTGAAACTCAGGGACAATAAAAGCTAACCCATAGGGTTATATACCGCACAGTGCAATGCCTGGCACATAGTTGTTATACAGTAAAGATGATAAATTATAACATTTTTATTATTAAAATTTGGCCCAAAGTCTTAGGCTTATAGAACACCTACTTCCAAGTAGTTCAAAGCACCTAGATAAAAAATACCCAGTAAACTTCATAATAGCCTTTAGCAAAGAGGAAACTGAATCTCACAGAGCTCCATACAGAGTCTATAAAATAAGTTTGCTTCACAATTTTTAATTCTGCCTTAAAATGAGATGCTAACTTCATAACTTTCATACAGCACATCATTCTACAATTTTTTTTTTTTAAGATTTTATTTATTTGACAGAGAGAGACACAGGGAGAGAGGGAACACAAGCAGGGGGAGTGGGAGAGGGAGAAGTAGGCCCCCCGCGGAGCAGGGAGCCCGATGTGGGGCTTGATCCCAGGACCCTGGGATCATGACCTGAGCCGAAGGCAGATGCTTAACGACTGAGCCACTCAGGCACCCCTACAATTTTAACTTAAGTGGAGCTAAAAGGCCCGACTGACACTGTATACACATACAGACACTTGCCATACCTACATACATCATCCCATTTATTTACAACTTTGCTAATTTATTCCACTTTCATTTCTTCCCTACTTTTTTCTTTAGAAGTCTGCTCTGAATGTCAGTTTAAACCTGACTCCCAGCTACCAACAGTATAGATATTCACACAATGTGCACTCTCTGGGCCATTATAATTTGAAAGCAGTGGTATTCAACCCGCTTAGGATCACGTGACTAAAATCACACGGGCGCTTTCAAAATACCTGATGTTCAGGCTAAATCCCTGGCCAACTGAATCAAAAATTTTGAGGGCAGGATCCAGCTGTTAAAGCTCCCAGATAATTCCAACATAGAACCAACTGGAGAACCCCAGTTCTAGAACTCACCCAGAATGCAATGGTCCTCAGAGCTGCAACAGTCTTAAGTGAAAGAGGAGTGAATCTAGAAATAGCCCCAAGTCCTTGACCATTCTTTGTAAGTAGTATGAATGAAAAAGAGGTATGTGGCTAGGAAGTGGGACAAGGAAATTTAGAAACTGAAGTAACCCAAAATGTTTTGTCCAAGATGTTAACAACTAGGCCTTTTAAAGGACAGTTGTAAAAATGGAATAATCCTATCCTTTGGATTATCTTACCATCTTTATGTTACAAAAACTCTACATGCTATAAGTTCATAAAAGTGAATTCCTATGAAAGTTTGAAGATCTTGTGTAGAATATCTTAATTTTAGTTGCTGATAGGCACTATTTGCTAACCTGATTGGCAGTCCACTGTCCTAATTAGCTAACACGTTGAATATGTTAACACAAAAACCTGAATTAGAAAGTAGGTTGGATTGAGATACTTTCAACATAAAAGGTAATTATAAACAGGTGAAGCTAAAATGGCAAATTTGGTGTTGGTTTTGGTAATGTTTCGCACATAGATCCCTCTTTCAAAGTTTCTTAAACAATCAAAACAATAACCACAAAAAATTCGCTTTCAAAGACCATGGTGTATGTAAAAAAAAGACACACACACACGGACACACAATATCCAATGAGTTGTGGGCTTCGGTTCGTTAGTTGGTTGTGGTTTGCTGTTATTTCAACTCAGTTGTAAAAAACATCCTCAAAGCAAAGCCAACCCACCTGCCAGGCAGGGAGGTGATATTTAAACCTACTATCAATTCAAGCGAAGGCAGCTGGCCTTGGAGAATGTGGCTTTCCGAAATCCTGCCGCTTTTGCGGAAACCGAGTCGCTACCTTGCTCCCGCCGGCACCCTCACACCCTGCCGCCCTCGCCCTTGGAACACCCAGACACTGCCCTACTACCAACGCCCCCGACTCGCGGGGCGCTCTTGGTTGCAGATTCCATCCCTGGAGCGGAGAAGCCCCACCCGCTCCAGTCTCCTCGTCCAGCTGAGACAACCCAAGCCTAGCCAATGGGAGGAGGCGGCCGCCGCTGGCCACCCGCCGTCGCCAGCCTCCCCGCGCCTCTCCACACCAACCCTGCCCCGGCGCATCGGCCAAGCCCTCAGCCTACCGGGACCCAGCCTCGCGCGTCCCCCCCCAACTCGGCCCTGTAGCCTTCGCACCTGTGGTATTGCCGTCCGCCCAGCCCCGGCGTACGGCCGCGAGGAGGCATAGGAGGAGCAGCGGCAGCTGCAGCGGCGGCGGCCCCCAGAGTCCCCGCAGGCCAGGCAAGGCGCGCATGGCGCCGGCGGGTCAGCCGCGCTCCTCGCGCACCGCCGTAGGTGGCCGAAGTTTCTGCGCACACTCGCCGGTGGCCCGGCGCCTGCTGCCTGTCCCGGGGGCGGGACACGCGACAAAAGGCAGAGTGGGAGGGGCCCGGCCGCCCTGCCCTCCTCCCCTGAGACGCTCTCACGGCGCCCGAAGCCGACCCAGGACTGCACCCAGTCCTCCATCAATTATGCAGCACGCTGACCGCAGCGGCCGCGCCCGGATGTGCAGTAGCCACCTCCGCGGCGCATCGTCTCCTGCCTCCGCCCTCCCGGCTCTAGCAGGTCTGGGCGGGAGCTTGCTAAGGACGCGGCAGGTGATGTCCAGCTCGTCTCCTGCAGGAGAGCTTGAAACTCCTAATGTGTGTGCATACATATGTATGTCTGCAGACTATTCTTTGCAGTTCGTCTGAAGCAAGGTTCACTTATTCACTCTGATGGGACAGATGAGAGGATGGAAAACACTTTTCGCCCCCCCCCGCCCCGGGACATCCCGGGGTTACTAAGGAGATTTATGCTTGCGCAGGTGGAAGGCGCTATCCGGCTGCCCTGAATCCTGGACGGCTCTTTCTCCGCTCTCCGTACCAAACGCACACACCTTCCCCTCCAGTCTCTGAAGGCTTAACCGGTTCTCTCTAGATTAAGGCTTCGGAGTCCCAAGGCCCCACAGTGTCTGTTTTCTTTTCCTATTGTTTGCTTAGCCTCATAGCTTTTAAGGAGCCACCTAGAGGTCAAGAAACAAAAACTACCCAAAGTAGATAACTGTGTAAACGGCACAAGCCTGTTGACCTTCAAACTCGAACACTGTTTAAAATAATGCTGTCTCCTACCACGCAAGGCTGTAGCTTGGAATTTTCAGTGCTCCCGACCAAATAAAACTAAAAGCTATCGGAGAGGGGAGGAGAAATCTATGTTCTAACATAAAAGAGCAGTAAGATCTGATGATTCTCCAGGGTGTTATAACACATTAAAAGATTTTTTTAAAGCATTTCTCCTAAGTCTTGTACTCTCTCCCTTTGTTTTTAGAATGCCAGGTTTGATATTCATAAATTCATTACATATCAGTGTCAAAAAAAAAAAAAAGCCTGAGTGGCTCATTTTGGCTAAGCAGCTGCTTTCTGCTCAGGTCATGATCCCGCGGTCCTTGGATCCAGCCCTGCGTAGGGCTCTCTGCTTAGCAGCGGAGTCTGCTTCTGCCTCTTCCTCTGTTACCTCCCCTCGCCCACCCCCCCCCACCATGCCCCGCTTGTGCTCTCTCTCACTCACTCTCTTCTCAAATAAATAAAATCTTAAAAAGAAAATAAAATTGAAAGAAAATGTCAGACAAATTTTGAAAACCGAAGTGCTAAACAAGAGCTATGCTCACTTCACAGAGGAATGGTTAATTTTTAATTGGTAGCCATTACTAAAATATGCCTGTTTCCGGTTTAATATTATATAGGGGAAATTTCAGAGGGATGTAGATTTTTAAATTGGTGTTAAGAGAATATGAGTAATACAATTCATTAAGCATAGTAATATCTAATTAATACTAAGTATCCGCCAAGTGTCAGGCACTGGGTTCAGAACAGGTTGCATGTACTGCAAGAAGTATGTACATGCACACACACACTCATCTAGAGAACTGTTTATCTATGAACTACAAATCTCAGGAAAGCCTCTTCTCAGTGAGAAAATTATGGTTATGATGATTAACCCTTTCTGAACAAAGCCTTATAAGAGACCCTGTAAGATTAACATTTTACATCATGACTCTCTTAGGACCATAACCAGACTTGCTAAACCCATATTCTCTGATTGATGGTTGCTAAATCATACCCCTGTCTTGCTGCCCTTCATCCTGTCTCAGGATTAACTACAATCATTTGTCTATACCTTCTGAGTTTTAACAATGAGCACTTCTCCAAACAAGCTGAACACTGACTGACCTTCCCCAGTTGGTCCTATAAGCTCAGATTCACTTTACTTCAAGTAAGTTGACCTCATTTAAAGAAAAATCATCTCAGTTGAATCAACGTGTTCATGAATTAGGGAAAAGTGACTTGCCCAAGCTGAGGCTAATTCCCACTGTCGCTTTTGTTGTTGCAGCAAAATAAATTGAGAAAGAACCATAATTCTTGGTTTGCTAAGCATTTTGAACGTGTTCTCCCCATTGTTAACTGTTTTATTTTTAGATATTTAGTATTTTTGTCCTTATCCCAACTTCACTTCATTGTTTCAAATGTTCTGTATTCTTTAAAACCAGCTTATATGATACCTTCCTTGTATGGCTTTTTCTGACCTTTCTAGTCCAAATTGACCTCTCCTTGCATGACGAGTTAAATATGGCCACAAATACATTGACACTGTCCTTATCATGAAGGGGAAAGAGGGCCCTGTGGCTCCTCTCTTCAAGCTGGGTGGTCTCTGTGACCTCTCTGACCTATCGAATATTGCAACAGTAACATTGTGAGTTTCCTGAACCAAACCACAAGAGCATCCACTTCCTTCCTCCTTGTTCTTACAAGACAGCTGCCAGGAAAGAAGTAGGACTACCTTGAGATCAACATGCCATGAGAAACCCAAACCACATAGAGAGACAGAAACAGTGAGATGACATGGGGAAAGGCCAAAGAGCAGCAGCCAGGTGCTAGATTTTTGAGTCTCTTCTTGGAGCCTCAGGCAAGGCCATCCCCCACCCAAACCCCCCCCCACCGGGAGCGTCCAAGGCTAGAGAGCATGCCTGACTGCTAGCCTCAAGAGAAGCTGAGTGATTGAGTTCTGACCTCGAAGGGAAAAGGCAGGATTCGTAATGTGAAAATCTCCCCAAATATCAAAGGGTTTTCAAAATATGGCAAGAATATCCACTCCAGTCCTCCCCACTATGACAGGCAACCTTTCTTCATACTTATTCTTTAAAACAAAAGCAGATGCTCCCCAACTTAATACACCATGTACTCACTTCAAATGCAGGTACCCCATTCAACACAGAAAGAGGCCCATCTCATTAGGAGGGGAAGTTGGATCCCTGACTGGTACAGATGCACATTCTAAGGCTCTGGGACAGGAACTAGTAGTATGTTCATTTAACATATGTCTTTGTAAAATTTGCTAAAGTAAACATTTTAACTGGAATTATTTAATATGACCATTTACTTCTACTCCAACTGCTCTTGCATCTCACTTTCCCACATGTCAGATGGCATGCTGTGAACGTTTTTGGGGATCCTGCTAAGAGGAAGTGGAGTTAAGGATACATTTCATAGGGATTTATTATAATATAGTTTTGTGTTTTACAGTCCCTTTGGTATAGGTATAGGGCCAAGTTATTGCTTATAGCCACCAGTCAGAAATGGCTTAAAAGGTCTACAGACTTTTTGCTGTGTGACTCAACTAGCCCTGTGACTAAATCGACTCTCTGGGCATCCTGACATAAAGGTGAAGAATCAGAGACCAAATGCTGATACCCTATGGTCACTTGGCACCAGAAATAAGTTGATAGGGAGGGAAAAGGATGCCATTGCCAGATCAAAGGTGTAATAGACTGAATTGTATTCCCCCGCACCCACCCAATGCATACATTGAAGCTCTAACCCTCAGTAGCTTAGATTGTAACTGTATTTGGAGATAAGCCTGTAAAGAGGTAATTAAGGTTAAATGAGGTCATATGGGTAGGCACAGGATCTAATATGACTACTCTTGGACCTAATCCAATATGTACCCTTATAAGAAGAAGAGGGGCACCTGGGTATCTCAGTTGGTTAAGTATCCGACTCTTGAACTCAGCTCAGGTCTTGATATCAGGGTCATGAGTTCAAGCCCCATGTTGGGCTCCACGCTGGGCATGGAGCCTACATTTAAAAAAAAAAGGAGGAAGAGACACCAAAGGAAGCACGCGCGCACACACACACACAGAAAAGGCCATGTGAGGACAGAAGCCTCAGGAGAATCCAAACCTGCTTCCATCATTTGTCACTATCTATTTAGTTTTTGGTAATAACTTTTCCCAGTATGCCTTTTGTCTTGTGACATTATCACCAAAAATTATTTGTGGGAGAAGCAGGCTTCCCACCAAGCAGGGAGCCCGATGTGGGGCTTGATCCCAGGACCCTGGGATCATGACCTGAGCCGAAGGCAGACACTTAATGACTGAGCCACTCAGGCACCCCTAACCAGTCTTTTTAAAAAATGGCTTTTGTCTGTTTAAAAAGTCTTCTTAAAAAAGCCTTCATTGTTTTAAGAAAAAAATAAAGTCATCCTATGTTTTCTTCTAGTATTTTCTGCTTTCTCTTTTTTATGTTTGAAATTTATGTTAATATAAATGTTAATCTCTACAAATGTAAAATTATTACGTAAATTTATAGTAATAATTATGACTTATCTTCCTGTCATTTTCAGCCATCTTTTATTTTAGAATAAAATATGCAGAGAAGGCATACTCTATTTTAGGATCAACAACATGTTATGTGTTCTATAAATGTCTTTTTGAAGATGGGCGATATCAATAAGTAGTAACTCTGGGTTTGGGTTCTGATACAAAGCAGCTTTGTATGCATTCTGGAAGATTAATGGTTGCTCAGGAGAGTGTTTAGCTAATAAACGTAGGTTTTGTTTGTTAAGGAACTTTTGACCAAAAGGGAAACGCAGAAGGTTTAGTTCTTCTCAGTGTAGAAAATTAGCAAAAATGGAGATGTATGTGAAAAAAAGAAACCTCTGTGTGTGGATGAGACAAGCTTGCTGATTCATACTGGTTAAAAGAATATTTGAAGGCCGTGGTTTTGAGTCACAGCACTACCATTTAATCTTTTTGTGAATTTAGAAATAATCGCCACTCCAAAGTTCAGTTTCCTTTCCTATAAAACAGGGAAATAGTACATATCTGCCAATGTTGTAAAGATAAAAATAAATGTCTTGGCAGTATTGCAAACCATAAAACAAAATATGTGGATGTTTGTTGTAGTGATTTTGTTGTTATTGCTACTATTGTTATAGATTGCACAATAGTGGTATTTTTTTTCTTGAGGTAA